TGGGATGGTCACACCGCAATCCCTTCTCCTCCATTCTCCTCTCGGGATCTTGGGGACGCGCGCACACGTGCCCAGCGTGAGTTTAACGCCACGGGGTCCGGGACCAAACCGTGATCGACTACGTGGGAGTCCAGCGACATAGCCATTATGCTAACTGCTGGTTCCCACACCACCTAGGTTTTAACATTAACATTTCACTGGGAACCAGCAGATGGCATAATAGTTACATCACTGGACTCCCACATGGCCAACTACAGTTCCAGTCCTGGACCTGAAGGCTTGAGAGTCATGCCAGGTGCATATGCATGCATGCCAAATCCTGAAAGAATGGACAAGGGATTGTAGCGTGGCCATCCCCCGGGTGGAGGGAGGGTGATATTTCACTTTTTGTCTCTCTGCTGAGCACACATGCCCAATAGCAAAAATCTCTAAAAAACAAAAACAGAAAAAACCACACATTTCACTGTACTTTTTTTTTTTTGAGAGATTTTTGCTATAGGGCGCATGCACTCTCCAGACAGAGAGAGACATTAGAGACAGAAAGCGAGAAATCACCCCCCAGGGGGGTTGGTCACGTCGCAATCCCTTCTCCTCCATTCTCCTCTCAGGGTCTTGGGCACGCACGCACATGCTCCATGGATAAATATGTCTTAAAAACAAGTACAGTGAGGGAACCAGCAGTTAGCGTAATGGCTATGTCGCTGGACTCCCACATAGTTGACCGCGGCTCGCATCCCGGGCCCCGGTGGCTTAAAACTCACGACGGGCGTGTGTGCGTGCGTGCCTAAGACCCCGAGAGGAGAATGGAGGAGAAGGGATTGCGACGTGACCAACCCCCCTGGGGGGTGATTTCTCACTTTCCGTCTCTCTGTCTCTCTCTGTCTGTCTGGCGAGCGCCCATGCCCTATAGCAAAAACTTCTCAAAAAAAAAAAAAGACATATTTATCCATCTATCCAGTCATCAATCCTTCTTATTTTATCATACATTTGAAAATAATAATTTGCAGACATCAGAACACTTGGTGAAGACTGGGTAGGGGTTTGTGTGAGGATTTGAAATTTTGGAAAAGGAAGGTCTTTGCGAAGAGAGTACATCAGCATGAAGACATGAATGAAAAGAGGGAGCCAACTAGGTTAAGTGCACAGGTCGAGGGTTGCTATGAACTGGTGTGTGGGAAGAACAGAAAAGTCATCCTTGAAGCTGGAGAAGAATAGCGGTGGGGAATGAGGTCATGAGATTGGCAGGAGCCAGAGCTTGCAGTGCCAGTTAGGCTCTATGAGTGCCTATTACTCAGGTCCTTTGGTTCTCCATTTCTGTACAAGCTGTGTCTTCAAAAAGTGTTTGGAAAATGCAATTATAAAAAAAACAAAAACAAAAACAAACTAGGCAGAGATTTCAAAAAAT